ACGCCTGAAAACCATCAACACCAGAAATGTAGCTTATCCCCTTTGCTCCAGCTACAGGAGCGAGCCAGGCGAGTTTAAAGGAGAAAGGAATCTAGAGGTGCAACTGGCCCAGGAGTTCTGCATCAGCCCACTCATCCCCAGGGGAGCACCCTCTGGCTGATTTTTCTCTTTTTCTGGTGCACAGGCTGCACCAGAAAGCTTTACCTCTGCCTTTTCACTTCATGTCGGTGGAACTTTTTCTACTTTGTCTCAGTAGAAGTTTAATACCATCTGCTTTCTTAAAGTTTTCCTGGGGATAGTCTTTTTAATGTTCAAAGGCATTATTCAAACAAAGCAGAATTCTATTAAGTACCAGAAGTTGCATTTGATTATTGCTATCTATCTGTACTTTTAATTTGTAATATCCATTCCACGTTCTTTCTCCCGGGACTCCGCGCCAGGCCGTGGGGTGGATGAGAGCCTTCCCCACCCCAAGGGACCCAGCCCTGGCAGCCGACCTCCACTGATGGCCCAACCACCGCTGCGCTCCAGGCCGCTTTCCGGATGCTCAGGTTGAGCTTCACACAAGAATGAAGTCCCACAGAACCCAGATAATGCAGAACTTTGTGACCTTGGACATGGACTCAACAGGACCCGGAACAGAGAACCTCATCCTGCTTCCCAGTCTCTGGTGATTCAGGGATCACACCCAGAAGCCACACCCTGCCTGCCGGCACCAGATAATCTCCTCATCGGCCACCCTCCAGAACTCACCGATGCTTCTCCCAGATGGGAGTATAAAGTGAGGCTCCCAGAATCATGCCACTGGACTCCATGCCAGGCTATGGGGCGGGTGAGAGCCCTCCCCACCCCAAGGGACCCAGCCCTGGCAGCCAACCTCCACTGCCCAACCACCGCCACGTTCCAGGCTGCTTTCCAGACCGTGCGGCCACAACACTTCCTACCCATTTATACCTCTTGGAGAGCCGGCAAGCTACCGAGAGTATCCCGCCTGCACGGGCAGAGCCTGGTAAGCTCCCTGAGGCATATTCGATATGCCTATACAGTAACGATAATAGGTCTCATTCCCCTGACCCTGAAAGAGCCTCCAATTGTTGGGAAAAGACCATTAAGAGGCTGCTAAAATCTCAGGGCGAGGAGGAATAGAGACATTCATTACTGGCACCTGCTCGAGTAATTCAACACCCAATGGGGTGATAGTGATAATAGTTTTTTTCCCCCAAGACATTCACTTGCTGAGGTGTCAACACCTATTCTAGTATCATCAGTAATGGCATCTAAGCTGGACAGGGAAGTTCACATGTGTGTTCAATTCGCTCTTGTACATCAGCCTCACTCACGAGCCCCAGCTAGTTCTAAAGATCATTAAAAGCCTAATTCGAACTGGAGAGAGACTAAGGTGGTTAGGGCGCTTGCCGTTCACATAGCTAACCTGGGTTAAATCCTGGGCATCTCATACAGTCCCCTGGTCTCCACCTAGGAGTGATTCCCTGAGCATAGCCAGGAATAAGCCCTAAGTGTGTGGGGTGTGTCCCAAAAACAAACCAAAAAGTCGAACTGATTCACCCACATCACCAGCTTTGTTTCCTTATATGTGCCCCAAATACCCTACTTCTAAAAAGACAAACAACACAACACTTTCAAATGAGCTTTAAAATTTGGGATTTCAACAGCAGAGAGTGTTGAAATCCTTCTGGAGTGCTTCCTTTTCATTTTATAAACATTTCTCCTTTCCAAGAGCACTTTAGGAGCAACGTGGGACTCGAAGCCCCTCTGATGCATCTGCCCGAGTGTGAATTTCCACAGCTGCACAGGCCCCCTGTGAACCAAACACCAGGCACTAAAACCGCCTTTTACCAAGGGATCAAAGAGTGATTATATTTTGTTTTTTAATTAGCCTGGTTAACTGAAGCAAACTAAGAATGTCCCAAAATGCCCAAAAATAATCTATCAAGTGGCCATTTCTCTTCCAAATTGGAACAGTTTTGATAATAAAGAGGGATGTTATTAATAATTCCACTAAAATGTGGGCCAAGAGATCATACAGTGGGTAAAGCACTTGCCTCACATGTAGCTGACCTGGGTTCAATTCCCCAGTACCACATATGGTCTCTCCCAAGCCTTGCCAGGAGTGATCTCTGAGCACAGATCCAGGAGTAAGCCCAGAGCACTTCCAGGTGTGTCCCCAAAACAGCAACAAAAACCCACTAAAATAACAGATAGCCCAGGTGTTGTGAACAATTAATAGGGCTGACATGACGCTTGGAACACACAGACTAGCTCCCCTCAAGGAGCTTACATTCTGGCTGGCTTTTTCTCAGTATCCAAGAATCACTCTCAGTCCTGAGAACGCAGTAACAACCTCGGATGAGGCTCAGTTCCACCAAAGCTGCTACAGATCCTTATTAGCTTCATTCAATGGGAAAAGGGGAAAGGCTTCCCAGGAGACCAGACCTGAATCTCCCGCCCTCTTCCAGCACTTGAGTTGTCTAATGGGCAAGATACATATGTGACCCTCAGCTGGGGGTAATACTTGCTAGGCAAGGCCATTCTATGGCAACTGTCTGCACAATGCCTGTAGGTACTAGTTACTGCCATGTTTTCTCATGTACTATCAAGCCTGAGCACCAAGAAGACAAACCAACAAGATGAGGGAAGGGGAGAGAGTAAGAAAACAGTGTCCATGTAAGGCAGTGTAGCCCACTGAGGAAAGGTCAGCTCTGAAGAACAGACACCAGCAACTAACTCAAGAGTTTCCTTAGGAAGCGTCTTATAGCAGTATTTCCCTCACAGGCTCAGTTCCAAATTCCCTGCAAAGTTCTCAGCTGATCTTAAGGAGAAAACTCAGGAATAAAGCATGAAGGGAAAACTATCGGGACTGGATGGTGGAAAAGAGATTCAGAAATTCAGAGAACCATGGACAAGACTCTGGTTTCCAGGATGAGGAGCCAGAGGGTTGGTACCGTGAGTAGGGTGCTTGCCTTACACACAAGTGACCTTGGTTCGATCCCAGCATCCCATATGGTCCACCAGAAGTGATTCCAGAGTGCAGATCCAGGAGTAACCCGAGTACCACCTAGGTGTGGCCCCAAAACCAAAAAAAGAAAATTAAGTTTTCCAGGGAGAATCTATACCAGGACAATGGAGCATGTGGACAAATGCAGCTCTAAAAAGAATCATTTCTGCTTTCTGAAGAAAGGCTGCCTTCACAGTTCTAGAAAAATCAGTCACAGCACATTGGAATGTCATTATGCACATTAGGATAGTTCATAATTAAATGAAATTCACTTGTAAAATTTTGACCGTGCAGTACAGACCAACACAGGCGGTGAGAAATATTAACAGGTAAGAATAAAAGAAAGGGGTCTTTTCATACATCCTGCTTTGGAAAACTGCATGTTAGGACGCCTAAGATTCTCAGGTGTAATGCACTACAATGCAAATTACTGCCAGGCTCCATTTGGTGGTAATTTTTTTTCCTGCTTGAACTGTTTACCTAAAAAATATTTAAAGCACTTTTTAAAAAAGCAACACATATCCACTGAAAAGGATTTTTTTAAGTGAGTCCGGAGCGATAGTACATCAGGCAGGCCTTGCGCAGGGTGTAGCAACTGGCGTCCTTTATGATCCTCAGAGCCCACCAGGAGTGATCCGAGTGCAAAGCCAGCAATAAGTCCTAAGCACTGCTCGGTGTGTTTCCGCTCCCAATCTAAAATAAAACAAGCATCTCTAATGCCACCAATAGGGAGTAAACACTAATACCTTTCAGCGCTACTCTTTTAGGCACAGGAAATTTTTACAATGGAACATCATCCCCAGCAATGCTCTTTATCCAGCCATTTGATTGCTGAGATCGCAGTAACTCACAAAGCACACCAGTCAGTTAACAATTTTTAAAACACGGGATTTCCATTTGCAATTGATGGCAGGCTCAACCCTTCATTAGCGACTGCAGGTGCGGAAGGCCTCAAAGCAAACCAAGCCTGCACCTGCACCTGGGTGAGTGGTTATTTATGTCACTCACCCCTGAGCAGCACCCAGCGAGGAACGGGCTTCCACTTCTCCAGGAGAAAAGGGCTTGTAAAGGGCTCCACGGGGCCCCTCGCTTAAGAGGACCCATGATTGCTCACGTAGTCCTAAATGACTGAGATGTTTTGAGTTCCTTGCATAAAACGCTCTTTTTCCTTTGCCTCCATTTCGAACTTACTCCGAAAACCTTCTACCCTGGTTCATTTCCAAGTGGTGACGGTTTCTCATTTCTGAGAGCTTGTTCTGTGGGTGGGCAGGGCCGGGGGCTCGTGCACGGGACCCTGCAAGAGGGAAGGGAACCTGCACGCGCGGAACCACGGTGGCCCCTGCAGGCCCCTACGGGGTCCCACCTGGGCACGGCTGGCTCTGGTGGCTCGGAGGGATGGGGGAGGTTTGGGCTGACGAAAGTCGCCTTTCGAAACGGTCTCGGGGGCGACCGTGGACTGCGGAAGGGCAGAGAGAGAAATCGGGGGTGGTGCAAGAGAGGCGGGGCCGGGGATTTTTGTTGTCTCGTTTTTTTTCGCTTTCGTTTTCTGCGTGCCTCGGAGGGCGGGGGCAGGTTGGAGGAGGCAAACGAGGCCTCTGGCTGCCACCAGGGTGGGTTTGGGGCTGGGGGTGTGAGCGGCGGAACCGCGACGCCCCGGATATCCCGCCCGGTGCCAAGAGTCGCCGCGTTGGCGGGAAACAACAGCTCCAGCCACGAGCTCGGCGCCCTCCGACTCCGAGGCCGACTCCAGCCGCGTCCTCCGCCCGCAGGTCCGGCCACCGAGTTCCCGGCGCCCCCCGCCCGCGCACCGCCTCTGCCCCGCAGCCGATGACGGGGAGTTGCAGGCGCGCCGGGCGCTCGGCGGGGCCGTCGGCGGAGCCTCCCAGCGCGTCTCCGCCGGCCGTGCAGTTCCCGGGGTCGCGCCCAGGGCCCCTCCCCCGCCCCGCACCCCCTCCCCCGGGCTCCCCGCGCCACCGCCTCGTACCTGCCCGCAGGCCTGGCCGCGCTCGGGCGCGGGAGTCGGCGCCGCCATGGCCCGCTGCTGCCCACGTGCGGCTCGGGGCCGCCTCCCCGCCCGCCCCCGCGCCAAGGGCACGTGCGCGCCCCCGACCGCCCCGAAAGCCGCCCCCGCGTGGCGGCAGCCCTGGGGGAACCGGCCCTGGGCCAGCGCGGGGATGCGCCTCCTTCTTCGCTCTGCGGCTCGGGCGGGGCCTTCCGGGCGTGCGGGTTCCAAACCACGACGGAAAGCGCGATGGCGTTCGAAGCGTCCCCTTTCATCCCGGTGACTCTGGGGCACGTGTCTCCTTCTCCTCGTCGCAGAACGGGGCGGTGGAAGAGTTCTGGGCCGGAACGAGGGCGTGACCGCGGAGGCACGTGCACGAGGGTGCCCCAGGACCTTCCCGAGGCCCGCAGAGCAGCCCTGAGCACTACTCTTGAGCACCCTCTCCTCTCCTCCTCTCCCCTCCCTCTCCCTGCCGCCCCTCTCCCAGCAACGGGACGAAGGTCTGCTGCGACTGCTGCTAGAAAAGCCCCTTTATTCGACCACCTCTAGACAGTCTCTTGCAGTCTGCGGTCAGCTCAGCAGAGCATCCTTCGCTCTTGCACTGGAAGTTCCCCGCTGCTGGACCAGGTGGAACGAACCAACATCGGAGGATGGCGTCTGAGTTTGTCGCTTGGGTTGGAGTCGCCCATAGACGACAGCCGGATCCCCACTCAGCCCACAGACCTTCCGTCACACTTAAACACATCAGCCCGGGCCCCCCTGGAATGCTGTTGCCCGTGGTGACTGGGCCCGGCGTGCTCCAATATTCTGAGCTGGGGACGCTTCTTCCCGGAGTCTGATTGGGAGCGCAGGAGTGTGAAACATTCTTCTGGCTCTCTATGATTTTTGAAGGGAAGAAAACTTTCTGGCGGAACCATCCTGCATTAGTTTTGGAAGTAAATGCAATTTTTTAATACAAATAAATTATGACTTCTCTGCTTTTCCAGCTGGGAACTGAGTATTTAGAGACCTGTCAAGGAGGGAGTTTGCTCATCAAAACAGAGCCGAGGCCAAATCATCACAGGAAAATGTGAATAGAGACAGCTTTGAGTATTTCCCCGTATGGAAATCAGGTTTCTATTGCTCCAGAGGATTTGAAAAGTAAATCTGATGCTGGTAGTGGCAAAGATCAAACCGGGGTCAGTAGTGGGCAAAGAAGTACCTTAACCCTTGTGCTATCTCTCTGGCCCAGGGGAAAAGAATTTAGGCTGAGATCAGGACTAAAGAAGACCGAGGGATGAATGAGTTAGCAGCTAGGAAGGATCAAGGGTACTCTAGGGCAATTTCCAAACCAACGACAGATGTTTGCTGGTAAATATTACAGTTTAAAAGCAGCTCAGGCCTTCTGGAGATGTCAGGTGATTATTCCCATAGTTTCAAAGGAAAAGTTCCTCTACTTGTGGCAAATCCTATAAGGAGGACTTGGAAATGCCAGGACACTGTCAGGGAACAGAAATGATCTTGTCCACTTGATTAAAGGTTTAATCTAGCGGGTCAGATTGGGGCAAGATAACGTAGACCAAGGTGTCACACTGAGAAATTTGAACTTAACTTTGTACGCAAAGGAGCACTTAAAGATTTTAAATTGGGGAAAGATGTCATTAAAATGGACCTTTCCATCTTCTGGTGCCAGCACCAAAACAATTTAAACTAGTACCAGCCTCAAGTTGTAGATCTTATTTTGGTGCATACATTACTTCTCCTTCTAAATGCAACCTTTTATTTCGTGACAAATGAGTGGCTTTAAAACATAGAGCACAGATCACAGGTTTTAAGTCAGAAAGTCCCGAATCTAAGCACGCGCGCACACACACACACACACACACACACACACACACACACACACACCAATCTACTGCACTAAATTTAATTCTTTCAAATAATTTAATGTGCACTCAAATAAAGTGTCTGCTGAGAGGCACTTTTCTGGGTCAAGGTAACAGTAGTGGATAGAACAAACAAACTCCTAGAGAGAGAAGACAATTAGCAACAAATACTTTTATGATACAACACTAGAAAAAAAAGGTTAAAATACCCAACAAAGGGGTAGATTATAAAAGGGAGTTTCAAGGAGATTATATAATTTGAGAAATCAAAATGAAATGGAGAGGCCTGGGGGAATAACATTCCAAGCAGAAAGAAGTTCAAGGCAGGGCTGGAGAAATAGAACTGTGGGTAGAGCCAGGCTAGGAGTAATCCCTGAGCACAGAGCCAGGAGTAAGACTTGAGTACTGATGGGTGTGGTCCAAAAAACAGATACAAAAGCAAAAAGAAGTTCAAGGGAAGGTGTTATTCTAGCATTATACTCACTTTTTTTCCCTTTTTGTTTTGTCTCTAAAACATCTGGTATTCTAGAAGGTGGCAGTGGCAGTAGAACAAGTTTCCCAGACTTGTTTGGACTACTACATGGATGCTAGTGGGGTACCCAAGAGGCTTATATAAAGTGGCAGCATTAAGGAGGAAATCTGCTATTTTCTCTCCATCCACCTCTGCCACCTGGGGAACTCTGGGAAATCTAAGCCTTGCTATTTGCTGGAAAGGAAAGTCAGTTTTAGACTTTACCCTATATACTCTTTCGGGTCCATTGCCTATGCCTTTCAGAAAAAGAATTTAAAGAGGAGAGGAGCAGTGAGGATGACATGTCTTATTTGGAAGAATGAGGAAGGATGAAGCGGGTGGTGGGGAGGTGGGTAAATGCACTCAGGAGAACGCAGGACCTTCTCCAGAGTAGAGAGTCCCAGCACACACCCCAGCATTACAGTAAGAAGGCATTAAAAAATTTGTGTTGGCTATTTCACAAGGAATTGCTTGAAAGGATATGTGGGAAGATGACAAAAGAGCACGCCAAAGTCCTCTTAGCACTATAACAACAATATATTTGATTACATTGCAAGACTGACTCTTAATCGTAAAGTTCTGGTAGACTCTTTTCTTTTTTAATTTTTATCAGTGAAACACCACGAGGTACAGTTGTAGACTTACAAATATTTGTGCTTGGGTTTCAGTCATATAATGATTGAGTACCCATTCCTCCTCCAGTGCCCATTCCCCACCTCCAATGCTCCCAGCATCCCTCCCAACCCCCCACCCCTGTGGCAGGGCATTCCCTTTTGTTCTCTCTCTCCTTTTGGGTGCTGTGATTTGCAAAAGAGGCATTGAGTGGCAATCATGTTCATTCTAGAGTCTATTTTCAGCATACATCTCCCATCCTAGGAGGGTCCTCCCAACACTCTGGTAGACTCTTGAACAAAACATTGCAGGATAGTGCAAGTACAGAATGGTAAATATTAGGAAAATTAAAGATGCTGATTAAGTTGCAGGTCTACGGAGAGGAGAAACATATCAAAAAACTGTTTTGCCCTCATGGCCTACAGGTGGTTGAGAAGTCTGGAAAAACATTTTTGATGACGCTTCCCTTGGGGAGATGGGAGAGGATGAAAAAGAGCAGCTGTGGGGAGAAAGGGCGATTGATGATTGGAGGATTGGATTGATGGTTGGGGGATTGATTGAAGGAGATTGATGGTTGGAGAAAGGGATTGATTGTTGGTTGAATTGATTGATTGATACAGAGATAGCAGGGAGAGAGATAGAGGAGACAGCTACAGCAGGAAGAAAGAATTGTGCGGTAAAAGAGAGATAGACACAGAGGAAGAGGACTGGGAGAGACGAGGAGATGAGAGATTGAATAAACAGCAACTAATCAGCAACCATCTTGGCCCTCATTCTTCCTTCGTCCATCCAAGGCAACAGCCTTCCCGGGTGAAGAAGCATCTTGAGAGCACCGAACGTGGCCAGCGAGGCAAAATTTGTTTTTATACACAAGTGTAGTTGGCAATTGGGAATGAAAGGAAAGAGCACCAGCGAGTGGCTTACTATACTATAAAAATAAAAGCACCAATTTATAGGACATTATCTGGAACGATTTAAGTTCCATTTCTAGATTTATCTACCCATCCACTCAAACATCACAAAATACCTATGACGTACATGCTGTTGTTATTAGCCTTGCCAGATAGATGAGTAATACTTGTTATATAATTTGTAAATAGATCTGAAATTTGAATTAGAGCAGACTATGATAAAAGTTCATGACTTTTAGTACTATTCTATATGCAAGGTCATTAAAACGTAGATCCATACTGCTTCCTCTTTTAAACTTTCTTGACTTTTAGTTCTAATATCTATAGGTCAGTTGAATCTCTTGTTCTTGGATTTATTTCCATGGGGAAGCTTCCCAAGGAAAGCATTCCAGCTGTATCATCTCCCTGGTCCAAAGATTATGATTTTTGATGTTATTGAAGCTATGGGGAAATATATGGTTATCATACTCTGCTAATGCAGTGCCAATTAATACAAACATTTTGAAGTATTTTTCAGCGTTACTTTCTACATTGAGCTGAAATGCTCTCTAAGCTCTATGACTCATTAAATTTACTCCTAAGAATGGTACACATAATTATGCCAAAAGAGCTTTACAGGAATAGTCATAGCAGCTGTATTCATCACTTAATCACTTAATCACTTAATCCCTGTTATTCATCGATTTATTCGAGCGGGTGCCAGTAACGTCTCCATTCATCCCGGTTGCGTGCTAGCGTAGCCCAATGGTATCTGTTCGTTTTAGGAATATGTAGAGCCTCAAACCGATCATTTAGGGTCTTGACGAAGAAGTCTGACCATCTTATAGGTGGGCGTCCACGTGATCTTTTGATGTCTCGTGGAATCCAATCAGTAATGGCTCTAGTCAGCGGTTGTCTGTAAACCTCATTACGTGTCCAGCCCATCTGATTTTTGATGTCTTGGCAAATGAGACAGCGTCCCTGATTCTTGAGCGTTGACGAAGATCAGAACTCCGGATTCTATCTCTCATTTGAGTGAATCGTGATATTCCAAGCATAGTTCTTTCGATTCCTCTTTGAGAGACCCGAATAGTGTTCTCATCCTGTTTTCGTAGGGTCCAGGTCTCTGAGGCATATGTTAATGCAGGAAGAATAGTGGAATCAAAGAGATGTTCTCGTAGCTGGAG